AGCAGGTCATCAGCAAAACAGAGGTGGGTAAGTTTAACTCCTTTACACATTGGGTGATATGGGAACCTCCCAGCAACAACCGATTGATCAATCAGACAAGTAAATATTTCCATGGCTACTGCAAATAGGTAGGGGGACAGGGGATCCCCTTGCCTAAACCCTCTCTTGGCAGGGAAATAACCAACTAAGCCCCCATTGAAACACACACTCAGCATTGGGGTACTGACACACATCCTTATCCAAGTAATAAATCTTTCAGGGAAACCCATGCATTTCAGAACTTGAAATATGAAGGACCAGTCAACCGAATCAAACGCTTTCATTAGATCGATCTTTAGAGCACACCTAGGGGAGATATTAGTATGAGAGTACTTGCTGACCAGTTCATGAGCCATTAATATGTTTTCACCTATTAGCCTCCCCTTAACAAAAGCAGTTTGGTTTTTGCTGATCAGGGCAGGGAGCATGGGGCTTAACCTATTAGCAATAAGCTTTGAAATGCATTTATACAAAATGTTGCAACAAGAGATTGGCCTGAAGTTTCTCATATCATCGGGGTTTGGTGTTTTAGGGATCAAGGTGAGGATAGTTGCATTCACTTGTCTAGGCACCCTATCTTGTTCAAAACAAAATTGAATAGCAGCAGTTACCTCAGAGCCGATGATTGGCCAAGCATATTGAAAGAAAGCCGTAGAGAAACCATCTGGACCAGGACTCTTGTCTCCATCCATTTTGAATATAACATCCTTAATCTGCTCCTCTGTGAAAGAGTCACAAATATCTTCAGTTTGTTCCACATTGAGCTTCCATTTTAGCAAACCAGAGATATACTCGTCTGTTTGAGTTTCAACCTCAGGATCCTCCACACCAAGCAATCTTTCATAGAATCTAACAGCAATTCGGGACATTTCTTCCACTTCCTGAATCTTTTCCTCTTACTCATTTTTCAGAACCCTTATTGTACTCCTCTTCTGCCTGGTTTAGATGGATCTATGAAAATATGCTGAATTTGAGTCCCCCAGTTCTCAACCAAGTTTCCCTTGACTTCTGATGGAGGAAAGACTCCTCATCATGACTTAAAAAAAAATTAAGACTTTCATTTGTGCCAAGAATTATAATTTATAACCTTTATGTAAATAAATTTGGAATTACATGAGTAAATGAGTAAAAAATGTGAATTCTAATTTCCCGGCTGAAATATGGCCGAAACGAAGAAAGCAACGGCGGCATTCCCGAGTCCGAGTGATGGTGGCGGTTAAATTCCAGCGACTAACTGACAGACGACAATAACATGCCGACGCTGAGCCATCGCTTTCTCCACGCCGGCCTCCTCTCCCCTCCTCCGATCATCGTCCCACTAATCTTCCCAACCACTCCCCTCTTCCTCCGCCCCTCTTCCCCTACCTCTCGGCGGTCATCCTTCACCATTTCTTCTTCTCACTCCCAACCTCACAGAATGGAATTGGAGGAAGGCAACAGCGGCAGAAGCCAGAGGACAGTTGCAGCGAGCTCCCCCTTCGATTTTCTGACGAAGAAGCCCTACGTCCCTCCATCTTGGGCTTCTCATCTCAATCCCATCCCTTCCCACGTCTTCTCCCTCGCCCATTCCCCCACCCCCATCCATCGATGGAATCTTCCCAATTTGCCCCAAGGCACCGAGGTCTGGTTGAAGGTACGCAGGATTGAATTTTTTTTGGATGGTTTGACTTTGAAATGTAGAGTCACGATATACAGTGGGAAGTCTGATTTGCTCAAATTTGCTCTCCCGATCGCAGCGCGATGATCTCTCGGGGATGCAATTGAGTGGCAACAAAGTTAGGAAGTTGGAGTTTTTGATGGCGGAAGTTGTGGCCCAGGGCGCCGACTGTGTCATTACGGTCGGTGGAATTCAGAGCAACCATTGTCGTGCCACTGCTGTTGCGGCCAAGTATCTTGGGCTGGATTGTTATCTCATCCTTCGCACTTCCAAGGTTCTCTAATTTCACTAGTTCGGTTTTTCTTTCGGCTTGAATTTGTGGGTTGATTGAATCCTTACTCCATTGTTGATTAGTTGACCAACATTTAGTTAAAGGTGAATACAAAGTACAGGGAGTGTGTGATTTTGGTGAGTGTGTGGATATGTTGTAACATGAATTCGTTTTCTGTTGTCTATGCGTATCTAGGTGGTTGTGGATCAAGATCCTGGGTTAACAGGCAATTTACTCGTGGAGAGATTGGTTGGAGCTCATGTTCGACTCATTTCGAAAGAAGAATATGCACAGATTGGGAGTGTGGTAAACTTACACGACTGCTTCATCTTTGTTATGTTTGTTTATGTATTCTACTGTGTGGTCATACATGTAGCTTAATCTCAGGAAGTTTGAAGATGGGGGGGGGGGGGGGGGGGGGGGGGGGGGGGGGGGGGGGGGCAGCATGCTTCCATTGAGTGTTTTCTGTCTTTTCATTGAATTTTAAGGAATCAAGATGTGTCGCCTTGATGTATCCAATAGACTATCAGAATAATTAGAAAATAACATAAGCTATAAGTCGGGAATATGAGAGGATTGCGCAAGTGCTAAAATTGACCACATATATTTTTGGTGGTATCATCCATTGTCTTGATTGGATAGTTTGTTCAGTTTCTATTTTTCTTAACTTTAATGTTGGTGGTTAATGATGCCACCTTGATTTGTCATCCACATGAACCCATCTCATTCATTTATGTTTTCTTGATATATATGTGCATGTTTCATCGTTTCCAGGCGCTCGCTGATTTGTTGAAAGAAAAGTTGTTAAAAGAAGGTAGAAAGCCATATGTTATCCCTGTTGGTGGATCAAACTCCCTGGGAACATGGTAAGTTTATCAATCTTCGAATCTGTGCATAGCAGAGCATTACCATCCCCAGTGGCTTACCCGATTTTTGTTTGTAAAGATTGCTACTCCAACTAAACATCATTTTCCAACTGGCTATAGATTTGGTGTCTTATTCTTTTTCTTCGTTGAATTGTATTGTTTCCATTCTGTTGGATTTGTTAATCAGAAATCAGCTGTGTCTGAAATTTAGATCTTTGTTTGCTTATCTTGCCTGTTGCACATATTGTGAAAACTGTGAGTTGTGCTACCAGTTTATGGATATACTCTTATTCGACTCCGTCTCTTTCTTCCCTTATTGTGATGTGTCATTTTACTAAGTTGATAGTCTTCAACAGTGTCTTTGTACAGTAAATTCTAGTTGTTCCAGTTCCTGTTTGGACAGTATAATCTTGTTTTACATGTAACGTTTTCTAAAAAATTACTATGCAGGGGTTATATTGAAGCAATCAGGGAAATTGAGCAGCAGGTTGAGGCAGGAAATGGGGAGGTAGAATTTGACGATATTGTTGTGGCATGTGGCAGGTCACTTGCTTGCTCTAAGCTCACTTATTTAAGTGTTTCTACCTCTTATGGCCGCTCTCATTATCTTTGACCTGTTTTCTAGTATCGTTGCTTAGTTCTTTCATTTTCTTTGCAACTGTAATGCGGAGTTGCTTACTATGAACATTTCCTTGACTAATTGCTACCTCTGTTTACAATGATATGTAAGTTAATGACTGGTCATTCTCAATTGAGTGATAAACTTTGACGGGATTTTGGAGTTTTTACTTGTCAAATATATTATCGGAAGCTCGTACATTACCCTACTATGAAGTTGATGGTATTTTCCTTGTTTTCCGTATAGTGGAGGCACAATAGCTGGTCTGGCTCTGGGATCACATCTTGGAAGATTGAAAGCAAAAGTATGGTTTATGCTTCTACTTGACCTTCTCATTTTTTTTTAGTAGTAGTTACCTTCTCATATTTTTAGCCGCGAAAGCTAATCAGCTCTCCAATGCACGTGCCCAATTTGTCCAGGTCCATGCATTCTCTGTTTGTGACGACCCTGATTACTTCTATGACTTTGTTCAAGACCTAGTTGATGGAATGAAAGCAGGTGTCAATGCCCGGGATATTGTAGACATTCAAAATGTGCGTTGTCCTATCCAACCCTTTGGCGTGTGTGTGTTTCTATAAATCTTATTGGGATGAAGATTTTGCATGTTTCTCGGCCGAATTAGAGTGGTACAGCATCTGTAGAGCTGGTATTGAAAGGGGGTGAAACATAATCTTTGGTTTTTCTGTTTAACAGGCCAAAGGCATTGGCTACGCACTCAACACTTCTGAAGAAATTAAGTTTGTCAAGGACGTCGCTACAGCCACCGGCATTGTCCTTGACCCAGTGTACAGGTGCAGCACTCTTACTCTGTTAGATACACATTCTTGTGTTTTCCCCCAAGTCATTCGAAGATGATCATGGCTCGACGGGCAACGAGCATATGTTTCTTGGTTTCTTCTGTATATACTGACATCATTATCATTTGCTGCGATTGGCTTGATTGCTTGACAATGTGTAACAGTGGGAAAGCTACGTACGGGTTGCTGAAAGACATGGAGGCGAATCCAAAGAAGTGGGAAGGCAGAAAGGTCCTCTTCATACACACAGGTGGTCTTCTGGGATTGTACGATAAGGTCGATCAGCTGGCGCCGCTGGTCGGAAGCTGGAGCAGGATGGATGTCCATGAATCCGTTGCAAGGCAGGAAGGCATTGGGAAGATGTTCTGAAGAGATAATCTGTTTTTTACAATGCACATACATGTTCTGGATTATGTTCTGAATAGAAATGAACAACGGGTTCATTGGATGATTAATAAACTGTTCTGCTATGTTCTCTCTCAGAATTTATCGCGTTTTGGTTTCCGTTTCGAGGATCTGAAATGTTTCTCGTTTTGCGGAAAAGAAACGCAATAAGCTGACGATATATTTATACTCGCGATATTCCGTGATAATGAAAATGTCGCGATATACCGGCAATAAGGGTTTTGATTTTTTACCCGGAAATCGGTCTTCCTCTTCCACTTCCACTTCCCACCGTGAACGTAGCTCTCACTTGCCACGAGTCGCCTTCCATTCCAATTTCCCCCGCAAAACTTCCCAACGGCAATCGATGGAGGGCAAAGCAGAAGCAGATTCTGAAGCATCGACAGCAGTACATCCGTCTCTCTTCCCTCTCTTCGCCGCTTCCGATACCGCTCCCCTGCACGCCTCCACCTCTGCCGCACTTCCTCCTTCGCAATGGCTACAGAATGCAAGCTTCACCGCCGACATCGGCGCCATAAACGACGCCGTCACTTCCCTCCGTCGGGACCCTAATTCTGAAGACGATTCTGCTTCCGATTCCGAGCGACGGAGGCAGGACAGCTCGAAGCCGTCAGCGGCGAGGTACGAGTTGCTGGAAGAAGATGAAAGCGACGAGTTTGTGAAAGAGGCGAAAGAAAGTGGTCGCTATGATTTATCATCCTCTGATGGCGGTAGGGAGAGAAAGAAGAGGAATAAGAAGAAGACAAAGGGCAGCAAAAGGAAGCGGAGCGAAAATCGATACGGTGATCATGCTTCCAGAAAGTCTAACGTTAGGGGTTGGGCGGATTCCGATGCTAAACAAGCAAAAGATTATTACTTCGATTCTCATGGAGATCGGGATAATTTGGCCTATGGCTCACTTTACAGGTACATTTCCTTCACTTTCCATCATTGGCAAGCCTGAATTTGTTTTTCTTAGGTATTTAACACTCAGCTTAGTCACATAAGGCCTCATCATTCTTCAGGCATTCATTCTGGATGGTCTGTTTGCTTGTGGTTAGTTTTGTGTTTTCTAGAAGTTCTTCTGGGATCTTTACGGATTGGACAGAACCCATTCCAGCTTTAGAAATTTGGAGTGGAACGTTTATTGAGAAATCAAGTGTAGCAGCTTTATGGAGCCAAAATTTCAACAGTTGTAGTGTGCTGTTGTCGTGGCGACCTTCAAATTGATACCCTGTTTCTAATACAATGCAGGATGGATGTCCCCCGATACAAACCTTATAGTAGTGCAAGCCCTTACGGGTTTAACCTTAAAGGGTTTTACTGGTCTAACAAGAAGGGATCTACATTTGATGGGGATGCTGATGTTGATGTTTTGGATACTAAACTGAAATCTGATGGTCGTTACTGGTCTCCGAAGTACGCAGCTCTTGTACGCCACAAGAATTTGAAGCGTCTACGTTTCCTTGCACATGTTCAACCAGAAGTCACAGCCTCAGACGATTTCATACCGCTACTAGATAACCAGATCCCTCAGGAAGCGGTTGATCAGGCTGCATCCTCAAAAGCATCAGTTATTGAAGAATCTTGGGAAGATGAGGTGCTGCGCAAAACACGGGAGTTTAACAAATTAACTAGAGAGCATCCTCATGATGAAAAAGTATGGTTAGACTTTGCTGAGTTCCAGGACAAGGTAGCAAACATGCAGCCACAGAAAGCTGCTCGTCTGCAGACACTTGAGAAGAAGATTAGCATACTGCAAAAGGCGGCTGAGCTCAACCCTGATAATGAGGAATTATTGCTTTCTCTTCTGAAGGCTTATCAGAGAAGAGACACTGCTGACGTGCTTGTGGGGAGGTGGGAAAGGGTTCTTATGCATCATTCTGGAAGCTGTAAGTTGTGGAAAGAGTATTTGAATGTCATTCGAGGGGACTTTTCCAGTTTTAAGGTTTCAGAGATGAGGAAAATGTACGCCCATGCGATTCAAGCTTTATCTAATGCATGCAGCAAGCAGTTTAGGCAGGTTCTTATCCAACTTCCTTCATAACCATGGCATCTTCAGTTGTCTTTGATGTTCTTTCTAAATTCTACTTGCAATCTTTTTCTTCCATTTACAAATGAAGCTCTGCTGGCAATTTCGGATACCATATCTTGGTTCTCCAGGATATCTGATAACCTGCTTGCACTCCTTATTGAGGTTGTTTATTAGCCATATGCCTTGAGTTGTATCATGCATACAAGCTACTATCCGTGTAAGATTCTGTGAATTTTTATTGTAGGCATTTCAGGTTTATTATGTCCTCTTATCAATCATGGGATAATATCGCCTTTATTTGTTCGTTTTGGTTTCTGGAATTGAATATCAATCTTCTGATTTCTTCACGATACTGAGGCTTTTACCTTTTTCTTATGATAATATATTTATTTGAATGTTGATCCGAAGATTTGAACCTAGGGTTTTTAATTCTTAAGTTTGTATTTGTTTACTGCAGGTTCACCAAAATGTCAAACCAACTTCTCTCGATCCTTCCATTCTTCAGCTGGAACTTGGGCTTGTGGACATATTTGTTAGCCTTTGTAGGTTTGAGTGGCAGGCGGGTTATCATGAGTTGGCCACGGCTCTATTTCAAGCAGAAATTGAATTTAGTTTGTTTTGCCCATCATTGCTTGTTAGTGAACATGGTAAACTGAGATTATTTGAGCATTTCTGGAATAGCGACGCTCCAAGAGTCGGAGAAGAGAGGGCTGTTGGCTGGTTGACGTGGTTGGAGAAAGAAGAGGAGAATAGACAAAGGATTTTGAAAGAGGAAATGTCACGTGAAGAGGAGAGCGGTGGTTGGACCGGCTGGTCAGAACCTCGGTCTAAACTCGAGGGAACTGACAAGAACCCAGAAACTACGACAGATATTGAAGGGGCTACTGAAGAAAACCACGAATTAAGTGGAGATGAAGATAACAAGCAGGAAGATGACACTGAAGCACTGTTAAAGCAGCTAGGAATTGATACGGATTCTGGGGCCACAGATGAGGTTAAAGATACTTCAACCTGGGCTAGATGGTCGGAAGAAGAGTCATTACGTGATGCAAACCAATGGTTGCCTGTTCATGGAAAATCAGGTGTCTCTCTATCCCTCTCATTTGCTTCATTTTTGTTTTGCATTTAGTGTGCATTAGTCACATGCTGTAATGACATGGAGGCATCATCTACTATGTGCTTCATAGGCAGAGAATCGTTGATTTTCTAACTGAAATCTAAAATTAAGCAGATCAGCATGGAATACCTAGTGGAGAAACTGACGAGCAGTTATTGAGAATTATTCTGTATGAAGACATAAACCGGTTCCTGTTCTCAATTAACTCCCAAGAAGCACTCTTCTCGCTTGTTTCTCAATTTGTTGATTTTTTTGGTGGCCGCATGCCGCAATGGTAAGCTTCTTTGATGTTTTGGACTATGAACAATTCTTTACATTCTGATTGGTGATTTTATAGCTCACTGTTCTGGAGTATGCATTGATCCTTTAAGCTGAAAATCCACCATGTATTGTATAAAGAAGCTAAGACCTGCAACATTCTAACTGTAAATCATTATGTAGAAGAGCTATCAGTTTCATTATGGAGGACGTCTCAAGTTGTTATGAAATAAGAAGTGACACATCCGTTGTATTGGTTTAGTTTAACTTATTGTCTATCGTTGAGTATTGTTCAAGAAATAGGACTGTGTAGATTTAACTTACCAACCTAGTAATTTTTCTAAGCACTTGTTTGTTATTCAGAAGAATAATTTCATGCAATGGTCTCGGTTCTGTGTTTGCATTTCTGAATTAGATTTAACTAAGTTTAGCCTGCTAAACCATGTGTTTCATTGCTCATCTGCCTGTTTCCTGGGGAATACAGGCTCCACAAGAAGGCAGTGACTGGGACACACATACTGTTGGAAAGAAGCAGCAAGTAGTGAGAAATTGTTACATTTAGTTTTCCCATGAATATGGGTGCTCTAGAAAGTTGGGATCCCTGGTGTCATGCAAGAAGTTAATAAATAGGTTCATAGGTTCAATATGGAGCAGTAGCGCAATTAACTTAGTAAGAGGACAATAAGTCTTGTCTCATTTGGAAATTATCCATGTGCTGTTTTTCTTTCTTGTGGAAAAAGAGCTACATTTCTCACCCCCGATCAACCATTGTACGAGGGAGTGTCCGACTTTGTAATCTCTTTTATCTAGGAGTTGCACCTAACATTCTCATGTAATTGATGCCGTAGTTTTAGTTAACAGAGTAGTCTAGGCATATAATATTCAGAAAATGGTTGTGCTTATATATAATCTGCTTCTCCCAAGCTTCTATGTCACAATTGTTCTAATTCCCACACTAGCTTCTTGCTTTTACGGGTACTATAGTATGAATCATGGTCATGGTCTACCTTTTCCTTTCCAGGCTTTGCACTAACAGTTCAAGTTGGGCTGAGCAAATCCTGATGGTGGAGTCATTGCCTGGTTCTATATCCGAAGATCTGAGAGGAGTTTTTGACATGGTAGTGAAGCCACCGAGTTTAGCAGGTAATGGTATGGAGTTCCTGCTCGGAGGTGTTGGTGACAGTTCTAAGAGAACTGATATGATGAAGTTTCTCCGTAATGCCGTATTACTTAGTCTATCTGCTTTTCCACGGAATCACAAATTGGAGGAAGCTGCTCTTCTAGCTGAAGAATTATCTAGCACTAAAAATGATTCTTCTACACCATGTAGAGCTTTGGCCAAGACCCTTTTGAAAAGTGATAGACAGGTATCTTGCTGTTTCTTGACATATTGACAATTCGTTTGCTGGTCCAGAAGTCGGATGCTGCAACTATAGCTTGATTAATTTTTTAAAGTAGTATGCTGGCTAACATTCCTCTGAAAAACTTAGCTGCTGTCTCCAAATGTTAGGTAAACCTCTGGTTTCTAATCCGTTTAGTTCATAATTTGGGTAGGATGTGTTACTCTGTGGTGTATATGCCAAAAGGGAAGCTTCTTTTGGCAAAATTGATCATGCAAGAAGAGTCTTTGACATGGCATTGTCATCAATTGAAGGACTCCAAGAGGTGAGTTATCTTGACCTTGGCATACTTGTGCGGAGATCTAAAAATTAATCTTTGTTGTTGTAAGTTGATATACTTGATCCCTGGACAATTAGTAAATCGTGAGAGCTGTCAACTGTTTCTGCTTACATAATGGTAGTAAACTCTGTAGTGTCTTAAGATGTGCCCTGGCAATACTTCCCAAGCTATTTTTAGTATTTTAATGCAATGTAATTTTGGCTTTTGAGACTAAAAGATGATCTTTAGATATTTTGTTGTTTGTTAAAGATGTTGTATGGTGACCGAGAAAAGTAATGGACGCTGACCCCTCTTTTGAGTATATTTCTAGTGCGGCTAGGAAAATATGTTTTGCCATGGGAAAGGAGGTGAAAGTCTCCTTATGTTTTCACATAAATTTACTAGTCTTGCATATTAATCGATTCTGTCAAAAAACATCCATCTTCTGAAGTTTTGTTTTATTTAGAAGACATGTTTGGCTCAAGTGAAGGGGAGGTTGACTCACTTAATCTGCCAAGTGATTGTATTTTGCTTTCTGAGACAAAAAGAAATAGAAGGAAAACTGTAGCACTACCACGATGATGAATAGTTTAAGCGAGATGTACCAAAATAGGAGAGACAGCTAGACATTGGCATTTGGCTGATTGGCTATGCCCCATTATTGACAGTCCGGTATTCATTGCAGCTGTTATTTTTTTGCTTCTTCCCATTTGCCTTCTCTCTTCGGATTTAAAGTTTCTCCCCTGTATATTGTCATCATTTCCAATCATGGTTTTCATCCTCATTGTGACTCTCGAGTATACACATGTTGGTTTGAGGTGGTAGCATTTTGTTTTTATTCCCCTTCTCTGTTTTATTCTTAGTTGTGGACTGAATTTGTAAGTGTTCTAGACCATATGTTTATATAGGTTATTCTTCATGTACAGGACTTCCACCGTAATGCTCCTCTTCTATATTTCTGGTACGCTGAGATTGAACTTGCTGATGCTGCTGGTAATCACCAAGAACCATCTCGTGCACTGCACATTTTATCATGCTTAGGAAGTGGGACTAGGTACAGCCCATTTGAATGCAAGCCATCAAGTTTGCAGTTGTTGAGAGCACGCCAAGGGTTTAAAGAAAGGCTGAAAATGGTGAGATCTGCATGGGTTCGTGGTTCAATAGATGATCAGACTGTTGCTGTCACTTGTTCAGCAGCTTTATTTGAAGAAATGACATCCGGTTGGACTGCTGGTGTCGAAGTTCTGGATGAGGCTTTTACAATGGTCTTACCAGGTGAAAATTTTAATCCTATTTCAGCCTTCTATTTGTCTGGAGCATCTTTTAAACAGATGATATTGTGGTATCTAGTAAATCTTGATGTGCTTTAAACTATCGAGGTCTTCTGTTTATCCAAAATCATCAAAGTATAACAAGTATTCAAAGGCCAATGCAAGCTTGGTCGTGGAGAATAAAGTTTGTTTTGCACCAATATAGATGGTTTACAATTGCATTGCTTGCAATTTTATCTTTAGTGTGCAGTTTTTTCTTTCTCTTTGGCTACTTGATAGCGCGATAGGTTATATAATATATTTTGTGGTTTTATGTTTCCTATTTTAGTTAGGAATATTTTCTTTTATTTGTTCACATGCTGTGCGTAGTGGTGGAATTGCAGACCGTGAAAATTAATCATTGAAGCAATAATTTTATTGATTGTCTTGGACAATTGAAGGTTATACAGCTGGCTTATGATGCTCACTTGAATATGTTTCTTCTTTTTGTTGTTTGCAGAAAGAAGAAATCAAAGTCCACAACTTGAATTGTTGTTCACATATTATATGAAGATGCTGCTCAGACACAATAATGAATTAAGTTTGTCAAGAGTCTGGGGGACTATCTTGAGGGGGCTGCAAACATATCCTTCTAACCCAGAACTCTTCAAGACATTTGTGGAGATTGGAAATCTTTATACAACACCTAACAAGTTGCGGTTGATGTTTGATGATTACTCTCACAAGTAAGTTAATAGCTCTGTGGTTGTTCTGTTCCAGAGATGGATTTAAACGACTAGGTGCTTTTGTAGCTCTGATTATTTATATGTCTAGGAGAGTAACACATCACAAATTTGCATGTCCCTCAGGAAATCAGGTATCATTGTGTGGCTCTTTGCGCTGTCGTTTGAGATGGCAAGAGGTGGGTCCCCGCATAGAATCCATGGATTGTTTGAACGTGCGCTTGGAAATGAAAGTTTGCAAAACTCGGTCATACTTTGGCGTATGTACATATCTTACGAAGTGAATATAGCATGCAATTTTTCTGCGGCTAGGCGAATCTTCTTCCGTGCTATTCATGCCTGTCCATGGTAAGAGCCTTCTCAATCCTATATTGTAGATGGACAAACTCGGTCATAATTTTTTTAGTTAGACAACTGAACCAAACTGCATTTGGCTGGTGTTATAGATCCATCATTATCAGACAGGATGGGGACTTGACCAATGGGACATGTTTCTACTTAGATTCATCTAATAAGCAGAATATTAGAGCCTGAATGGATTTTTGTTTTAGTCAGATTATCCATATGTTATCTACTGAGTCTCTTGAACTAATGCAAGTTCCCCTGGTTAATTCGGGGTATCAATAAATTCAAACATTCTGATCTGATAGTTGTTGCAGTGGATAGATGAATTTTTGTACCTGAGCATCTAACACAGAAATATGGTTCTTAAATGTGTTGTTGTTATATGTTTCGGCAGGTCCAAAAAGTTGTGGCTGGACGGGTTTCAGAAGCTGAAGTCCATCCTAACGGTGAAGGAGCTATCGGATCTGCAAGAAGTGATGCGAGACAAGGAACTGAATCTGAGGACAGATATCTATGAGATCCTTCTTCTGGAGGATGAAATTGCATGACCTGTTGAACTCCATTGTGTACGTTACAGATGTGTCCAGTTTGTTTTTCGGTTATTTGGATTTTGTTTTCTGTGTTTTCGGAGTGGACTCAGTGGTTCGAATGGACGAGGAGCTCTGGCATCCTCATACAGTAAAGTGTACTCAGTGATCAATGCTCGTATAGTTCTCTAATTTTTGGGAGGCAAGTGAAAGGCTTATTAGGTTAAACAGTTGTCTTGTAAAGATCGTAAGCATGGAAATGCAATGCAAACAGCTTTCTGAACCGAAAGATTCGGTTCTTCATTCGGATATGTTGGCGAAAGCAGTTTGGGATGCACAAGAATTCCTCTCCCGGTGTTCTTGATCCCGGATTCGACAAAGATGACATGATGACAATCCCTCTCTGATTGAAGCTGGTATGGAGCGGGAAAAGTTAATCTGCTAGCTTGACCGGGAAAAGTTAATCTGCTAGCTTGAAGATTCGTTAGCAGATACCAACTGATATCCAAAATACATGAACTAGTATCCAAGTATTAAAGTATCTAGAGAGCACAAACTAGTATTCAAAGTTTGCTAACTGATATCCACCATGAATCAACTATTATCCCAAATTCACAAACTAATATCTAGACAACACAGAATATTATCCATATAGCACATAATTAGTACCCAGATAACACACAAGAGTATCCAGATAACATATAAGAGTATTCATATTGAATACTAGTTGGTTGTTTGTGGATATTAGTTGGTATCTGCTATTTGGATACTAGTTTGTGATGTTTTGAATAATAGTCTGTGCTATCTAGATATTCAGCAGACTTGGATATTAGTTCATACATTTTGGATATTAGTTTTAGTATATACTAACAAATCTTCTAGTTAGCAGAATAACTAGGCTGGGTCTGAACCCTTCATGAAGGTATCATGATTGCTTGTGCTCTCGAATAGCAAATCGCTCGCTTATGGAGGCTTCGGACACTCCATTTGGGAGGACTCGACTAAGTTATCTTTTGATAGTACGCGTTCTAATAAAAGCGTCGATTAGGTTGCCCGAAATGCTTGTTTAGGTCCCCTCCAATAGGTTGATCATATTGAACCGGAACCTTGTCTCAGATTTCTTGTACTTTTTTTGGTACAGAATGTAGCAGTGCGTTAGCTGCGACATCGGTCCGTGTTGGTTATTTTCCTGGGTAAAATACCTTGGGTATTACTTAAGTTTCAGAATTGGGGCACACATACCACATAAATTTGAATAAGGCGCCGAGTACCACTGAACTCTATTATTTGTGCACCCGATACCACTTAAGTTTAATGTTAATGCATTCCGTTAAAGTTAACAGAATATTCCAAGAATATTCTATTTTCTAAATTTCTTAATTGGTCCTTCGACTTTTGTTATTGTAAAAAATTATTTTGACTTATGAAAAACATCAATTTTTGTTATTTATTTGGTATCCTCTTTTGAAAACTTGATACCAAATTAATTTTTGAATAGAAAATTTAAAATCAATTATCATTATAAGTATTTTCAATTATCATTATATTTTCTAATAGTTAAATTATTCTTTTTTTTAAGATTTTGATACCCAACCAATTTTTGAATAGGAAATGTAGAATCAATTATCATTATAACTTATAAGTACTTTAAATTACCATTATGTGTTATAATAATGGAATAATTTGCTTAAGAAAATATATCCTATGAATTCTATATCGATATAAATAATCTGAGGATGTTATATTTAATTCTCGTACATCATCTGGATGTTGTATAATTTTCTTGGTTACTTTCGTTCTATTTTCGTTCTAAATTTTATTGGTTACTTTCGTTCTAAATTTTCTTCAATTACAATAATATGTTTAATTCTTTATGACTATGTTTCATTTATTCTTCTTTGGTCTTGATGTACTGATGATCGATTAGATTCTATTTTAACTATTTTTAATGGTACTTCTTATCGAATTAGCGATTTAAATAGATCTTCTAATATTGATTTTAAATATTTATTATTATATTCTATATATTTATTCTTCTTCTTGATATTTGTTTATTATTTTTACTAACATCAATTTGATTGACAATTTTGATTAGTCATGTTGGGGTGTTACTAAGATACTCCGCGTACAGACTAAGTAGTAGGGCGCACAATCGGCGATGCCCAACGCTCGATACCCGCTACAGGTATATAAGGGCTTGAAGCCCTCCAAGGGGGGACTTCCTCCCTCTTCTCACTTTCCACTTTCCATTATCTCTCTACACTTTATCTCTCTACCTTATTCTCTCAACTCTCTCATGAAACCGAAACTAACTTATCGTCGGAGCTTAATCCGGGGGCAACCCCGGCTCTTTCACAGGTCTCTTCCCTCCCGACGAGATCAGACGAACGGATCGTGAGTCAACCCCACACCAACAAATATCATTGTTCATACCGGAGCTAGATGGTACAAACAATTGGCGCCCACCGTGGGGCAGATTCGACGATTTTGTTCGACTGATCTCTGAGGAAGGAAGATCGCAGTAGACGAGCCGAAAATCCAAAACAAAACAAAAGGTTGTTTTCTGGGAACAAACATAAAGTTCAAGATCTGCCTACTTTTGGAAGGGAAACGACTCATCCTGCAAGCACCGTCAACTCCCTGTTAATCCCCGTCCCAAAAACCAAATCCCTCATCTCTGATTTAATAGCGCGCAAACCGCGGAAAGCAAAAACCCATATCCCGGTGACATTTACTTGCCGCCGACTGGAGGGGTGTCGGTGTTTGAACGAAGCAACTTAGAAGAGGAGCAGCAACATTATCGGAAAAAGGGGGACAAATGGAAGAAAAGGGAAATTTCATATCTGATTGTTTTTGGGAAGAAGGCGAATCTTCCTCTACCAACTGCGAGTGGCGAGTGGCGATTAGGAAGAAATTATACAAATTTCAAAGGCTCAAAGCCAAAAACAGCAGAAGCAAATCATAAAAACAGAGACAGACGTCTAAAAAGTTCCAGATCTAGCAACTCCGAAAAACAAAGGCAAGACGAGATTTGATACCGCCAGCAGACTTCCTCTTCTTTAGGTTCGCAACCTGGCAGCTTAGACCAAATCTCTACACAAAGTCAGAGGTTCCGGCAAAAACAGAGATTAAAAAAAAAAGATGAAGAATAGCAGCCCAGATTTCGGCGAGCCAACCCATCTCCGGCGAAGAAGTTCCCACAAACGCCACACCACCCTCCATTTTCCCAGATTCCGACCATCGGAGATTGATTCGGAGCCGGAGCTCCTAGAAGAAAGAAAATAAGTTGTGGTCGCAAGGAGTTGTCACATCCAACTGGTTCTCCAAAAAATGGCGTTGCTCTCTCTGCTTGTCAGAAGGAGAAGACTGGTGGAGTGGCAAACAAAGGGTTTATCGAGGCAACGTCTTGTAGTCCTGAGCTCGGTTCTCTCGACTCTCCGCCCTCGCCTCAGCTTTCAACGGCCGCCCCTACGTTCCCGCTGAAGTCACGGACGCCATGGCTTTTAATTGAATCACCCAGAGGCCTGCCGCCGCAGCTGGAATCCGCCATCCCTCCCTTGAGATTCTCTATCTGGTGCCGCGATTCCACCTTTTCCGAGCGCTTCACCCTCTCCGCCGCGGCGCCAGTCTTGGAGAGTCTGCTTTTCCCGCCGCCGCACTTAGAGGAAGAGGACGAATAAGCGAAAGCAAAATAAAGAGAAGAGATTCCAATTCGCGACCCGCTCAACATCAGTTGACGTCGTATTGGGTTCACGAATCCGCTTTGGCCTCCGCTTTAACATTGTCCACAACCAACTCGCGAGAGTCCGACCCGCTTCAGCCTTGCTCAAAGGCAAGCCCGACCCGCCCTCTCAAGTCCGCCACTAGCTCCAGGACACTTCGCCGCCGCCTAAAGCCAACAACGCGGGCCTTACTCCAAACGCGGCCCACCTCCTCCGCGAGATCCGCCCCACTTCTTACATTGTGCATCAAATCGGGCTGCAAGTGTAAGCATGCACGTAGGCCTGACTCCACTCGTCCCACCACTTACATTATGATCCGCCCCTCAAGGCCCACCATCCGCCTCAAGGACAATACCACATTCTTTCGACAAAAAAGCTTTCAAGGAGATTCGAACTGACGACCTCCGTCTTATCAAGCAAGTGTCATCACCAATATACCGTAACACTAACTTGAAGACTTTCAAGCAAGGCGCTGTATTTAATAGAGTTGTTTGTTGCCTCTCCGAATCAGAAAGTCCGCCGAAGAGTACAAAGCGGGCCGTTCTTATCCGCGTCTCAGCGCACGTGTTACCTCCTCCGCCAGGCCCAGCTATCTTGTGAAGCAATTCGAAAAAAACTGCCTTCACCAAAATTCGAACCGGCGTTCAAGGATCATAAGACTAGAGCTATGCCAATGCACTGCATCATCACGTTGACAACTCAAAGTGCGACGCACTATTATGAAGAGTTTACTCCGCTCCAACTCCAATTCGCGGTCCACACAGCCAAGTCCGCAAGCTCCCTTCTAAAGCCCAACATCACTCCACCACCATTTGTATGGCGGCTATTTTACCCGATTCCATAGACGTCGCATCCCCGACAACTGCAACGCGCTTCGAAAGCTGGACTAGCGAAACTCGCCAATTGAGCCCATATCCATCCAAGCTTGCGATCTTGATTCCGCCTCTCTACATGGGCTCGCGCCGCCCCAAATCGGTTCTCACAAGATCCGGGCCGCGTCACAATTCGCGCCACGCACAACTAGCACGCGGAAAGATTCGAACCCGCGGCCCTGGGTTCACAACATCAGCATTCATACCAATACGGTACAAGGAAAGGCTACGCATCAAATGCACTGCATCATCATGTTGACAACTCAAAGTGCGACGCACTATTATGAAGAGTTTACTCCGCTCCAACTCCAATTCGCGGTCCACCCCAAACCGCTTCTCACAAGGTCCGGTCCGCGTCACAATTCGCGCCACGCACAACTAGCACGCGTGGGCCCAACTCGCAGACCGTCTCCAAACTCCCTTCCCTGGGCCCGCTTCGTTCAGTCGCCACGCTCCGAAGCTGATTGGGCCTGCATCTTCACTCGCGCGTCACGCGCACGGGCCAACTCGCGGCTCACGGCCCGCCACAGACCTGCCGACCATTAAGTCAACAAAAAAGCGCGGTTGGAAAGATTTGAACCCACGCCCCTAGGTTCACAACATCAGCATTCATACCAATACGCTACAAGGAAAGGCTACGCACCAAATGCGCCACACTTGAATTTATTATCTCTCTACCGCCCAAGCTCGCGGCCCGCACTGTAGGCGCCCCAACTCGCGGCCCGCGTTCAATAGACACGGAACTCTTCAAAAAAATTCGTCGTCGCCAGTGCACGAACCCGCGCCACTCTTCCGCCAGACAAGCAACATTACCAGCAGGCTACATACGAGCCTTGTGTTTCAATGGCGCAGCGTCTGATTTTCAACTACTCCTGCCGCCACTACACCAATATAAAGCTAAGTACTCTATCTCTCTATCATGATTAAATTTTTAAATATTTTACTTTCCTGAGCGTTAATGGCGCTAATGGGGGGGACAAGACGTACCCAACAAAGTGGGAGATGAGAAACTCACCAAGCTCTCGACGCCTTGAAGACTCCAAACTGAGGGTTAAAAACCCCGATGAGGAGAGGGCACATTGCCTTGAAGACTCCAAACTGAGGGTTAAAAACTCCGACGAGGAGAGGGCACATTGCCTCGATGAATCTACAAATAAGTCTCAACGAAGCACACAAATAAGACTTCAATAAGAGCATCGAGGATCTACAAATAAGTCTCAACGAAGCACACAAATAAGACTTCAATAAGAGCATCGAAGATCTACAAATAAGTCTCAACGAAGCACACAAGTAAGACTTCAATAAGAGCATCGAAGAAGCTACAAATAAGTCTCAACGAAGCACACAAATAAGACTTCAATAAGAGCATCGAAGATCTAGTACCATGAGAGAAGCAAGGTTGTCGTCAGACAACTTTCAAATATACAACATAGATTCTGGTCTCAACGAAGCACACAAATAAGACTTCAATAAGAGCATCGAAGATCTACAAATAAGTCTCAACGAAGCACACAAATAAGACTTCAATAAGAGAAACGGTGAATCTACAATATGAGAGTGTTCAACTACCTCTATCTCCAATAAAGGACACTAAACGTGCGCGGTAAGCCCGTAACGTAATCGTGCGGCTGTTACAAGCGCACCAATGAAAGGGTACACACTTGTGTGTGTGTGTGTGTGTGTGTGAAGAACTCCAATAGGAGAGCGCTCAATACCTTGGAAAATTTTCAACAAGCAATGGCTCAGCGCCTTGGAGATTCCAATAGAATAGCGCTCAACGGCTTAATGAACACACCAACTGGGGGGCATGACGTAGGAAGCTGGCACCGCGTCAGCCAAAGGCGCCACCAGCTGGGGGGGGGGGGGCAACTGGGGGTAGGGATGGCAACAAAACCCGAACCCACGGGTACCCACCCGACCCAACCCGGGTAAAACCCGTGTTGACGGGTTTTGGGCCGGGTTTGGGTTTAAACCCGCGACACTATTCACCGGGTCGGGTTGGGTTTGGGTTTAGGTAAACCTGCCCCATGGGTACCCGCTCACACACATATAATTACTTTCCCGATATATTTAATATTCTAAATAATAAATCTTTCTTAAACAACTAATATTCTTTATGTTTGTGGAGACATGTATAATTTGTGCTTTCTAATTGTTTAGGATGAAGTTGATATTATGAAGTGGAGAGTGAAGAAACTTAGTTGACGAGGAAGAAGCTTTCAATTATTCTTATTGTTTATAGATGTTTATCTTTAATTTTGAACAATTTGTATTGATCATTTGCGGTTTGCTTGTATGCTTTAGATTGGTGTTTTTTGTGTGAATAATTTGTATAAGAAAATTGATGTTAAACTTTTAGTTTGAAAGAAAATTGTTATTGTCAATTTTTTACCACAAAAACCCACGGGTACCCATGAACCCGCGGATACCCAGCGGGTTGGGTTGGGTTTGAGTTTTTCAAACCCAACGGGTTTTACCCCGGGTTTTTTTGGCGGATAAACCCATGGGTTTGGGTTTAACAAAACCCTCCCCAACCCGACCCATTGCCATCCCTAACTGGGGGTACATAGGGCTCCATCCAAAATTACCAACGAAGATTTAAAAAAAATAATAATAAAAAAATAATAAGCTAGTGATGAGTTAAAACTCACCACCAGCTTGGGGGGCAATTGTTGGGGGTGTTACTAAGATACTCCGCGTACAGACTAAGTAGTAGGACGCACAATTGGCGATGCCCAACGCTCGATACCAGCTACAGGTATATAAGGGCTTGAAGCCCTCCAAAGGGGGACTTCTTCCCTCTCCTCACTTTCCACTTTCCATTATCTCTCTACCTTATTCTCTCAACTCTCTCATGAAACCGAAACTAACTTGATCGTCGGAGCTTAATTCGGGGGGCAACCCCGGCTCTTTCACAGGTCTCTTCCCTCTCGACGAGATCAGACGAACGGATCGTGAGTCAACCCCACATCAACAAATATAATTGTTCATACCGGAGCTAGATGGTACAAACAAGTCATTTTAGTAATATTATGTTTAGAAGGTTTTTTAATTTCTATATTAGATAAAAACTTGTTGAAATATAGTTTTGGACGATTTTTTTTTAAAGTTTTGGGTATCAAAAAGTAATTAAATTTTTGGATTGGATGGAAAACTAAACGGATGCACATTTGGTGACTTTAATGGTATTCGACACTCTATTCAAACTTAAGTCATATATCTGCCCAAATTCTCAAAATACCATATATGTATTTTACCCTTGTTATCCTCAGCTTGAGTTTTTAAATATTTTTCATCATCGCAGTGCTTTCCCGCCATCCGTAGCAGAAGATCCCCATTTCCCCGCTCAAAATCCCTGAATCGATCTGCTTCAGTCGCAGCGCAGCGGTAGACGCACGCTAGTCCCTCAATCACTCGCTCGTTCATTTCTCCTGGAGCAAGGAATCTAGTCCCCTCCGCCGCCGCCGCTAGCCCTAGCGAAAATGAGCAGCGCCTCCATGAGAAAGTTGATTCAGAAGAAATTCAAAATCAGAGGTTACGCCCTCAAAGTCGACGCTTTAGACGAGATCCTCTCCTTCGTCAATCGCTTCAAAGACGCCGAAGAAGAGGCCTTGAAGCTCCTTCTCGACGATCTTCAATCCAAATCTCGTGAGTACACAGCTCTCTCTCCATTCTTCTTCTTCTTTTCTTCTTCTTCTTCTGAATTTCCTCTTCGGTTGGCTTAGCTTGCGGCTGAGAATCTGTTTTTTTGTTGTTGTCAGAGAAATTGGGAGTGAAGTCTTCCATAATAGACAAGGACTCCGTGAGTCGTGTCATAAGCTCTCTAGTAGAAGCCGATGAAGCTTTCGAGGAAAACCCTAGCTCCGTCTCGTCAAAATCTGCTCTTCGCTTTATTGATGCCTTTGACATCCCTAAATTTCGTTACGATCCCATCAGGAAGCAATTCCATCAGTGCGTCTTCTCTCTTTCTCAGCTTCTACTTAGCTTCATCTTGTCCTCATTCAGCAACTTCTAATTTTTCTCTTTTGATGTTTAATTCCTTCGAATCACTCGGTATTGTGTTTCAGGCATGTGGGGAGGCTTCCAATCCATGGCGATGCTTCCGCTAAAGCATCTTTGTACAAGGATAGGTTCCTTTTGCTTTTCCAGAGAATTCATCGCGACCAGCACTTCTCCAAGCCAGCATTTGACTCCGATATTTCACATTGTGGAAGCTGCGAGGTGATTTATCTGCTTATGTAATCAATTCATCCGATAGCCTGCGGGAACCATCGTCTTTGGAAAATTCGACTTACTCTCGCGTTACACATATTGCAGATTGCTCCAATTCAGTCTCTTGTCGGCCAGACATGTACGAAATGGGTTATGGGTCTTATATCCCAATTGGAGGATGGCCATTTTTACTTGGAGGATCTTACAGCTTCAGTGGAAATCGATTTGTCTAAAGCAATATCCTTTCATGCATTTTCCCCTCTATTTTCCTTTTTAGACTGTTCACTGAACTTTTATCCATCTTAATTGAAATTTTATGTCCTAAAGCATGATAGTTTCTTATGAATTTTAAGTCAGTGAGTCATATCTCTTTGGCCCTTTCAGTCTTAAGCTCACCCTTTCGTAGTTTTTCCTATAGTCCAATCTGATGCATGACATACCTGCAAAGAGGCTTGTACAATTGCCATCTGATCTAAGAATGAGCTATTTGTAATTTCAATCATCTAATTCTTCAAACATGATGGCTCCAAGCCAAAATCAGACAGTGAGAAAACTGAAGTAGGGGGAGGGAAGGAATAGGCAGCCATGTGAACTAGAACCTGGCCCAATGAGGGTTAGACTTTAGCAGTGCCTTGAATACCAAAAATCTTCCGTTGTCATCATTCTGTTTGTTCTGTCATAGATTGCAATTTGAACGGGTAAGTGACTTTTCATTTGGAAGATGAAACACTTTTAGGTAAGTCAAAAGTTGGAAAAAAAAAAAAATTCGAGGTTATTCATCCAGAACTGTGGGGAGTTAATCTGTGTGTCAACTTGTGCAGTACCATTACTTTTTTGCTCAATCAGGAGTCTCTTTAGGGTTCCTAATCCTGTAAAGTTTGTTCTGTAGTTTTAGAACATTATCTTCCCACTGCTATAGGTTCCTAAAAGTTCGTCTGAGAATGAGGGGTCTATGCATGTTGAGTTGGCTTAGCTTCATCAGACGATCTTTGGCTTGCTTAATACTTCTTCCTGACAGTGCATATGATATCCCTTTTGTAAAAAATAGTTCGCCTGCATCCCAGAGTTTTCCCTCAGGGCCGTGGCCTTATTATGGTTCTTGGCGTCGCACTTGTATTACTTCTTGAATGTGTTGTTAGGATGTAAAAAATATGATCTTGTTTTATAAGTTATTCTATCCAGCCGAATTCAAGCTAAACACCAAGCAAAAATATAAAATAAAAGATGTCTATCCTATCTTAGCTACATATGCTCTTACGTCCTATCTTCTCTCTAATGACAAACGTGAAAAGTAATGTATTCATACATTTGTTTTCCTTAACAACTAAATACAAAATAACTACCGGATTCCTATCAGAAAACACAATAGTTGTTGCAGAAGGGGAGATGCTTTATGATGGCATTTTTCAGGTAACTCTTTGTTAAAACTTCCTCATGTTATCTTGCTTTTCTCTTTGTATGACCTTTCGAAACTGTATATGCATGCTCCCTGGAATTCCAATTTCTTAATCATTAGCAGATATTTTTGTACTGTCAATTCACAATTCAACCACAAAATTTCAACTTTGCAACACCCATCTTTAAATTGTTTTTGCCAACTTTCATTCAGGTAGTTGTATCCTTTTACTCGTCAAATGAGATTTCTCATTTATCCCCTGAGAGTTATGAATATTGGCAAGTGGCAACCAATCCCATAGTAATGCTATTCCAGTGCCTCACTGGATAATTATTGAACCTGTAATGATTTTCTGTTCTGTGATATAAAACTAAAAGGTCAAAAGGCTATCAGGGTATTCTGCTTGGATTTACATAATGCTTGAATCCCAATTACCATTCTAGTTCACAGGGAACTGCATTTGGTCATCGTAACACTTCAAGCACCTGCTTCCAAGTTCCAATTATAGTATCTGTTTCTATAGGTAACTTTCTTTGGCTATGCAGGTAAGAACCTGTGGATTTCCTCCCTTAGAGGATAGGGAGAAGTCACTAAAAGCACTTGCTGGTCATGATCTGTTTGGTGGTGGTGCGCTAACAAAAGAAGAGACTGTATCCTTATAATAATTTTGTCACTCTGATTAATCGTTCTAGCATTCTTCATATAGTTTTTCATTAGAATAAGATAATGATCTTCCTAAATGCTACAATAGCTCAGGCTCGCAGACTTGGAGAAGAGAGCTGTTAATGACATGTTTGTTGTACTCTCTGATGTCTGGCTAGATGATGAAGAGGTTACATAGAATTTTCTTGATGTTCAATTTATCATATGGTCATTTTAGTGTTTTTGCATCTCAGTTTATTGTACCTAGTTGCTGATATCTTACCATTTGCGAAGGCCATGAGAAATCTAGAGACTGTGCTGGATGGTTTCGAGAGTCAAGAGGTTGTTCCTTCTTTGTTTGTTTTCATGGGAAACTTTAGTTCTCATCCATGTGACCTTTCCTTCCATTCCATCACAACTCTCAGGTGAGATTTCTCCAAACAAGGATCTGTATGTGAGTTCCATCATTAAAAAGGTGTATAGCATCAATAAAGAGTTCTGCTGCAATGTGACTTGCAGAGGGCAGTTTGGGAAGTTAGGGAATATGATTGGAGCTCATTCACGGTTAAAGGATCAGAGCCAGTTTCTATTTATTCCTGGTCCTGATGATGCAGGTATAGTGAAAGAATATCACATAGCTCTTTCATTATTGTTTAGCCAGATTTCAAGAATCTATGCTCATTTTCAGTTTTTCCCATTTTCAGGTCCATCAACAGCTTTGCCAAGATGCCCTTTGCCAAAGTACCTTACCGAGGAGTTGCGGAAACAGATTCCAAATGCTAAATTTTTAAGCAATCCATGCAGGTTATTGTCCCATTGTTGACTGTACGAGGCATGAACTATCATTTCTGGCAAACTACAAACATTTTGACAAGGAAATTCTCTTTTTCCCAATGCAGAATCAAGTTCTATACACAGGAAATTGTGTTCTTCCGTCATGATCTGCTATATAGGATGCGCCGTTCATGCTTGATACCTCCTTCTACTGAAGAGACCGATGATCCTTTTGAGCATGTAAGCTACTATCTTCAACTCTAGATTTGACATTTGAGTATTAGTCTCCATTACCAAAGGATATGGACAACTAAGGGTTTGTTTTTCCTTTCAGCTGGTTGCCACCATCACCCATCAAAGTCACCTCTGCCCCCTCCCTCTTATTATACAGCCTGTAATATGGAACTATGATCACTCTCTCCATCTTTATCCATCTCCACATACGGTAATGATCATTTATTTTCTCCGCCATCAACACTTCTAACTCTGTTCATGTCTCTTTTCACAGTGCATCTCTGTTCTTTTGCCTATGGCCATATGGATGCAACCCTTTGATGGGTTTTTGGTGGAATTGTTAAAAAAAAAAACTGCTGGGACTTAGTTGATTTTACCCAATATGCATTTCTTGCTATGCAAATTCTGTAGAGATGAGCTTTAGCAGTTCCTTGTCCTCGAAACTCATGTTTGCTTTATTCTCGTGGACAGATAGTACTAGCTGACAAAAGTGAGCAGAAGGCTTTCAAATATACTGGAATTACTTGTTTCAACCCTGGATCCTTCTCAAACGACAACACTTTTGTAGCATATCGTCCTTGCACCCAAGAGGTTGAGCTCTCAGCATTGTGAATGCTTGAAACAACCTGCCCAGGAGTTCAGCAAGCGTGCATTGGCGACCTTACCCATTACTATTTCTCGAAATGGCTGGTAACATTTATTGACTAATATCTTATTCAATAAATTGTATAGTACTCTTGGAAGTTATTTATGGCACCTGTTCTTAATAGAAACTCCTCTTCTGGTTACTGATTATCATATTTGTCTTTCCATGAATTTTGACAAGGCTAGTTACTCAGTGTATTAGAGATCCTTGTATTGTAAAATGACGAGGTCTTGTAAAGGTATCTCACATATGTGATGCCAAGGGCTTACAATAGTAAGTACATTCATATCACTTACTTATTTATGCTGCTTGATAATTGTTAAGTATTGCTCCAGGGTAATATTTCTATTTAGGCTCTTCTTTGTTTGAGTTCCGGTTATGATGCCGAGACCTCAGCTCCTTAGGGAGTTTTACGTTGCTTTCCAATTCTGTCTGTCAGGTGCACCTTTAATAAAACCTGGTTCTGGCTATTATTGTTGTTTTATGTGTTTGGTTTACTAGTTTGGTGCTGCTGGTGTTAGTCTTTATATACCATAGTGGTTGAAGTAATTTGCCCTCTCATACTTCCTTAGTGCTAGGCATAGCAGAAATCTTATGTGCTAATATGCTGTTTGACTGTAGCAGTTCATTCATGATTTGATATCATTGTACATTGTTCTTTTGCACAATTAGCGGATACTTTGTAGAACAGTGGCTTGTCGGGAGTGCCTTTTCCTCTACGCAGGCATCACGAAATGATTTCAAGTTGTGCAGAATTAGTTGCCACTTGATGTTGACAATTCAAAAGTTGGAATTGACATTTCTTTCCGTAGAGATGAAAGTGTCATCATATAAGTGGCTCTTCGAGCGTTTTGTGTTCACACTTGAGTAGGATTCTGAAATCTTGTTTCTCATTTTTCTGGAGATACTCTTGTAGTGGCGGTCGTTAGATGAACATCAGCTCTTTATTGGTGAGGGTGTTCCTGCCAAAACATCATAATCATAATTGACTTGTGTGCCATATTGCATCAACATTTCAGCCGAAAGAAATGGTGGTGGGATGTATTCTTTAGTTCTTTGTGCGATTGATAGAAACCTGACTTACACCCTAAAGTGTCACTTTCTTCCTTTGTGCAATGTCTCCATTGCTTAAGGGAGGCACCAGCTACTTTTGGCTCACAAAAGGTCCCTTGAAATGCTCCCCCGTTGTTTTTTCTCTTTTGGATATCCAGTTCATGATTTGAAGTAGTTTTTTCCTTAAGAATACCTGGATGCTTATTTTGCAGAGGTAGAATACAAATTGGTAAGGATTTCTGGTGTAGTTTGAACATAAGGTACAGGTGCCATATTGCAATCAGTGGTTAGTATGCCTGGAAGTATATTTGTGAATTAGAAGAGGAATGTAGGAATGTTGACAGTTGATGACGACGTTTTATTATACATCTCTGTCTTATACCTAATTTCTGTGGAAGCTCAAAAGTGTGTTGTACTCAAACTAGCAAATTTCATTTTTGGTTGCTTCACCAAAAACTTTCCATTTCTGGTTTCTTTTGTTTGCACAACTAAATTAGTTAGCTGAATATAACTTGCAATTCTCTATATAACAGAGAAGATATGTTAACTTCCAATGAGGACATATCCTGGCAGGTGGGGTAGTTGTACTTGTTTTGTGTGAGCCAAAAGTTAAACAGGTTGTGGTGAGGTGTAGCTTGTGAGAATAATTTCTCTTCTCATCTGCTGCACTTACTTAGTTATTCCCTGTTGGCAACTTGTCATAGATAAACATCTGGTTGCCTGAGCACGTGGGTTGAAGTTCCAGATTCAGAATTCTAAGATTGTATTAGTTATAGCTATACTTGCTTTGGTGTATGGCTGATGTGGTTAGGAATTTGGTTGATTGCTTGTGGATATCAAACAAAGGTCTTGTTAGATAGTCTGTTTGCTTGAGATTCTGGAATATGAGTTGCAGCAGTTTTGAGTTTGCTTTTAATTGTGTTGAAGGGTAAGTCTATGGTTGGAAGAATCATGTCAACATCAAGGGGAGTGGATACTATTGTACAGGTGAGTTTGTTTGTGAAACAGAGCAAAGTTAGGTTGTGGGGAGGGAGATAGGGGAATGAATGTTGGTGTACCATGAAAGAAAGAAAGAAAGATGCCAAAAAGAGGTTAGTGAAGGGATATAACAATAACTCTTTTAACAGGATTTTGTCCTCTCCTGGAACTAGGGATTGGAATTTTTTTTAGAAGAAACCATGGAGGCAAATGGGTTTTATCAGGTGAGCAGCTTGGAATGAGGTTACAGAGAGAGAGAGAGAGAGAGAGCAGAGCAGAGGAGAAAGGAAGAGTGATTGGGTATGACTTTGTGTCTTTTGTTTGGCATGTTGTGGTTGTTAATTAGGAGGGAATGCAGCATCACCGTAACAAACATTAATTAACCAAAAATTTAAGTTTTAGGGTTTGTATTCTTGGCTTTCTGGAGACATTATTAAGCTTTAAGAAATGAACAACTAATGTAGAGGTCTTGTTGTTGTCCAAAACTAACAAAAACTAACTTGATGCTCTCCTTTCTTAGTCTCTTGTGCTGTTGCTCTTTGGTGCGGCAACCTGGAAATGTAGAATGGAAGGACGAGTTAGGTGGAATCAGGTGAGCCGTCTTCAGAAACTGCACAGACGAAGCCGGTTTTTTTTACTGCTCAAATATTCCCTCTTTTAAGTTTAAATCAATGTTTTAGAAATCGTACATTACTTTCTAGTCAGACTCGAAATATCGGTATCGTACCCTAAATAATAGCCAGTTTAAACGATAAGAAATGATTCAATCATGATTAAACCACGATTTTAACACAAAATATCATACTACTAACTCTTTCGGCATGGTTTTAGAATTCTTGATTTAAATTAAATTTTGATATGAAGTTCCAAACGTTTTGCCTCTCTTTTATCTATAACTGTTTATTTAGTTCAGAATAATCGTAACAATTAAGCGTAATGAAAAACAATAAGTTCAAAATAATTATCACAGTTAGCCGTAATGAAAAAAAACAAATGGCTAGAAAATTGTCAAAATATATAAGATACTTACATGCGAAAAAGGGTTTGATCGAGTGGTACAACAATCAATCTAATATATCCTAAATTCGCATTTCAAATGGTACGTTAGTGTGGCATGGATAGTTAATAACGTTTCAAAATTGTATCGAAAGTTGTACCGAATAAATCAGTGATATAGTATTTTATAGTTTAATTGTGATCAAAATGTTTCATATTGATTCAATTCTATATATACAAACTTAAATTCTGATAATTGAACTTTTTTCGATCGGACGGGCTGATACGATTTAGTGATTGTAGGAGAGGCAATTTTATAGATCATCAACCGCTGAATCTCAATTAAGGGAACTAGGAAAGTACGTAATAGAAATGAAATGGATGACGAAATATATAATAGTGGGTGAGAGACACACCATTTCTATTTATGAGACGACTGATCACTCTTCAGAAAACTTTTTTTTTTGGTGAAAACTCTTCAGAAAACTTTAATTCATCAGCTAACTGCCTGATTAATTACTGATTAGCGATTACAACCCTATTCTTTTTCTTTTCGTATACACCTCAGTAGAGAAATGTTAGGCCAACGGTCTATCGATAGATTAAACAGTTCCTTCTTCGTTTTCCCCTTTTCGTGTATTTTAGAGATATATAGTTCCAAATACCCAAAAGCTGCACCCTACTTTATATATTATATTTATTCCTCAGTTACAATCAATAGTTTTCCAGTTAATTCCTTCACAATTTTTATTATTATAAAGATAGAGTTTTCCCCCTTATAAAGATAAAATGTTACGATTTCGTCTTCTCAACTGAATTCTTATCCCGGGTTAGGTGATTTACTTTTTCCAAGAACAGAGATGGGCGTTCATAAGCAATACAATAATTTATAATACATAAAAACATGTTTTGTGCTTCTTATATTATAATTACCTTGTGTGAAATAAAAGAAATTGGAGCCGTCAAGATAAATACTTAATAAACTATTTCCCAACAATTTAATTTATTGAGACTAAGTGGTTTTGTTCGTTAACATAGTATCAACGCTATGGACGAGAGGTACGTGTCATGGATTCAACCTGTACAAAGTGAAAACTAGCAATTGTGGGCTTTTCTTTGAGTGGCTGTGTAAGAGATGAAAACTTAATAAACCCTTTACCAACAATTCGAGTTACTAGGACTAAGTGGTTTGTTTGTTAACATTGTGGTCTAAAATATTGGTGTTTTGAAGTACAAACTAAAGTTATATCGTAGTTTTAAATGTATAAGTTTAGTTTGTACTATAAAAAAATTGTATTTTTATTATATGGTACAAGTTCGGTTTGTATTTTAGCATAAAATTACAAATTCATTTTGTTCAGAAAATAGTATATAAAAGATTTTTCCTTCACCGTTTCAAAATTACAGCCCTCCTACGCATCCACATTAGCACCCTTTCCACCAATCATATTTTTTTTCTTAATTCTTTGTTATCTTTTCATTATAATTTTTCTTTTAAGTTTTTCTCCAATGTGCCACTTAACACTCTCTCTCTTATTTTTCAATCCCACTACTATTCTTATTCAATCCATATTTTTTCGGCTTCAACTCCGAATTTAAATATTGTTACGCAGAAAAATCAGATTTTATGTGATCAATACAAATATACAATGATACCCATTTTGATATATGTTGATTTTTTTCTTTAAAAAACATGGTCACAGTCATATATTCACAAGTCACGCTCATATTCGATAGTTGCTAAACTATATCAATATCATTCAATTCTACCGCCATAAAGTATATCAAATTTCTTATTCTACTGAGTTACTAAATTATATCAATGTTTAATTTTGTACTATCATAATAATATCGCACAACAATTTCATGGGTGCTAAAATATCGCTGTGGGGTACAAACTAAATTAGCTTAAAGAAAAATCACTTTCCGGCCAACTGATTGGGCTCAAAGGTACACATGGTTCGTAACGAGAGACGACAATGATAGCCTGAACAAAATAGATGTATAATTTAGGAGAAAAAATATACCAAAAAACATATTTCAAACAAAATTTACCCGGCAAAACGGACTGGGTACAAATCCAGTGGTATAGTTATGTAGTTTCATTTATCCGGATGTGTGTATCGTAGGACTGTAAATTTTCCTATTTTTATACCAAAGAAACGGTATGCTACGTACAACCCATGCACTTACGTAAGTACGTAACCCGGCCGGCGGGAAGATGTGAAGCGGGAAGCCCCGTCTCGTATAACAAAGACAACAGACAAAAAGTTTGTTAATGTATTTAGATCAAGAGATGATTAGATCTATCTATTTAATCGTTAAAGACCATCCCATTTTTTTTCTTCTTCCAATTAATGAAATTTAAACATGATTAAACCACCCGGTTCGAAAGAGAAAAGTATAACAAATCAGTAGGAAAACAAGGAAGACAAATTAAAAGGTTTGAAAAGGAGAACAAATGTGGAAAATATAAGAAAAAGCTCTCTAAAAAGGAAAAGGGCAGCGAAGTGTCAAGAGAAGAGAAGGCCACAATTAAGTCCACACGTGCACATTTGGGCTCCCCCAGCCAATTAAGCTGACTGGGGCAAAGTAAAGGGCGTTAATTTGTAGGTTTGACAATTAAACCTGAAAAATTATTTGTTGGTCTTTTTATATATATATATAAAAAAAGTTGTTCTTCTTCAATGTCGATCGCCAGCCACCCCTATCGTCATCTATATATACCTAAAATTCCACCCCTTGTTTCTTCCTTCTTTGTCATCATCATCATCACCATCTGAATTATCTAAACAACTCTATATATATATATACCTAGCTAGCTCGCCAACTCTTTACCTTCTTGTTACACAAAGCAATTCAATGGTCGCTTTTCCGATATACTCATATACATATATACTAGTTCTATACCTAGGCTAGTAGAGTTAGAGAAAACATATAAGATCGTTCGAAAAATTGGGAACCAAACCCGACCGTACAATTTGGTTTTGTCCCCTCTTCTTTTATAAACCACAATGTGTCATAAAATAGAGATAACCGTGTCTTCAATATGACATCATGTTAATGTTTATAACAGTGTGATGCAAGCTGGGTTCTATGACTTAGTATCTTTGTTTTTTTTTGTTATTTACTTCTTTGGTATTAGAATTATGCATGTTTTGACATTTATGTTTCAAGAAGGAAAACTAGATTTTTTTTTGTGGCTATTGGTTCAATTTTCTTGTGATTTTATAAATATAATATTCATTTTTTTTCCATACAATGTAGTCTGCATGGTCCAGATCATACTGAACTAGACGGTACATGTATTCTTTGGTGTGAAATGTATAGTATTTGGTATGTGTCGCACCCTAGGTATATGTTTATTAAATGTTGAGATTCGAGCACTCAAGTATGGATTGCTAGTTACATAATTTATTTTCTGGAATTCATTTTTTTATTTCAGAGTTTATGCTTCCATAAATTTTATATCAAAATATTTAATTAGTTAGAGCCATAAATTTCACTTTCTAAGTACATTACGATGATTTATGTGGAATGTATAAAATCATTGAGGTAACGATAGGGACATAGCAAATATTATACATATTGAAATTAGCTTGATTTGTGAAAACTTAAATCTAAGAATAAAGATTATACATTCAATTACTCCAAACTAATTTCAGCCAATAATTAATATTAGTGAAATCCAAACGCTGGCTATAGCCTATATATATAACTTATATAGAAATGGTCGCAGCGTACGTACACAGCAATAGACAATTAAACAAATTAAGTTGTTGTATAGGACAGGCAAGGCAATGTTGTAGTTATTAGTTAGGTTGGAAATATGTCATTACAGTTTACCTGTTTGACTACCTTGCTAGGGTTTGGCTCTTTAACTACATCTTTAGCTTCTTCTTTGTTTTCTTTTTTTTTGGGTTTTCCCCTCCAATGCTAAATAATCAACCATGAAATATTTGAAACCCAAATAAAATGTAGTGTGAAAATTAAATAATACGAAATAAATTAACAGTTGCCAGAGAGTTTAGGAAAGGATTGAGAGAGAGAGAGAGAGAGAGAGAGAGAGAGAGAGAGAGAGAGAGAGAGAGAGAGGTGGTGGGTTACTTACAAGTAGAGTAGACCATTGTATTCACATATTATGTGTCCAACAAGAAAATAGAATTTAAGAAAGATAAAAGTATAGAATTTAAGAAAGATAAAAAGTGAAGGGATGATATAAGCTAAGGTAGAGGATGTTGAAGTAGATGATGTAGGTTGGAAACTCAAAGGAAAGATGTTGAAAGCATAACCAAAATTCACCCCCACCCAACCCAACCCAACCCAAATCTCCCTTTCTCTCTCTCTCTCTACAACAACAAATTAAACCCATAGAAATGTGTAGCACATAGAGCACAGATATTAACACCGAGAGCATAATAATAATATTCTAATAGTACTAACAGAAAAAAAAAGTAGAAGTTAGAAATGTATTGGGCATTAGTTAGATATAAATATAAGAATGGTGCGGTTTACTGTTGGTATTGTTTGTCTGTTATATCATCACCTACAACTACAAATCAAGTTTGCTCTCATTCTCATATATCATATCCCCTCTCCATCCTTTTTCCACCCTCCGCCATTTCTTCCTTCCTTCCAAACTCCGGCCTCCAACGTTTTTAAGAGAGAGAGAGAGAGAAAGAGGATTAGCCCATTTTTCCTTAGCCTCCATCAGTCTTTGGTGATCTGTTTATCTCTTCATAACAGAACCCCCAATAACAAACAAGCAAACTGATCACCATCATCATCCAAGCTATATAGCTAGGTTTGGAGGGGATCATATATAATCAGCTAATTAAAAACTAGAGATTGTAAACTCACAAAACCCCTTTCACCCTAGCTAACCCTACCCTATCTCCATCTCTACACCTATAGATCGATCCTGCAGAAGCTAGCTTAGCTTAGCTTGTTAATTAGTCTTCTTGTTCATCTTCTGTTTCTTGTGGGCAATAGATCGATCGAAGAAAGGAAGAAGAAAATATATATTATGTGCAGCAGAGGGCACTGGAGGCCGGCCGAAGACGAGAAACTCAAGGAGCTGGTCCAACGGTACGGCCCTCATAACTGGAACGCCATCGCCGAGAAGCTTCATGGCCGATCCGGTAACTATATATTCTTCTTCTTCTTCATCTACTTATAATTTACTACCTTCTCTTCTTACACTACTCTTAATTAATCTGCTTTAATTCCCTCATCTCAACCTTTAATTTACAACCCCTTCTCCTCTCCCTATGTCGTTTCACCACCTAATTAATTAAAAAAAAAAATATTTCTGGAAGTATCGATCGTATATATGAGGTAGCTAGGGTTTGTTTGGCTGTAAATTTTTTCCTCCTAGAATAAAGATAATTAATTATTATTTACGAAAAAAGGGAAGCAAAAGGGAAAACCTAGAAGGAAGGAAGGATAGGATAGGGTAGAAGAAAAGCAGGTTGGATGGATGATATTGAAGCACCACCCTTCTGCTTTACCTTCTAACTTTGTAACTGATTATCAACTGACCAACTAACTAACTAACTGTAACCAAACCTTAAATCTAGCTAAGCTAGCTCTTCTGATTTTTGATCGATGATTATTAACTAATTAATATATAATGGTTGGGTTGGGTGGCAGGGAAGAGCTGCCGGTTGCGATGGTACAACCAGCTGGACCCTCGGATCAACCGCACCCCTTTCACCGAGGAGGAAGAGGAGCGGCTCATGGCCTCCCACCGCATCCACGGCAACCGCTGGGCCGTCATAGCCCGCCTCTTCCCCGGCCGCACCGACAACGCCGTCAAGAACCACTGGCACGTCATGATGGCCCGCCGCTGCCGACACCGCTCCAAACCCCACCCTCCGCCGCCAACCACAACAACCTCCGCGGCGGCGGCTCTGCTCAACCACCACCACCATACTTCCTCTTCCTCCTCCAACCACCAACACCAAACTACTTCTGCCGATGTCGGCAGTAGCGCGCTCCGGCCTAGTCATCCCTACTACAACTACAACTTTAACTGCCAGCGGCAGCAGCAGCAGCAGCTGGCAGCAGCTTATTCCTTTGTCAACAAATATTGTTTTCCTTCCACCGCGACTGCTACAAATAATAAGACTAGCCGTTTTCATCCCTACTTCCCCGCTTCGGCCGTGCCCAATAAAGGATACTACGCCTACTTGCTTCATTCCACAGCTCATCAACATTATCCAAACCTTACTCCGCTTAATTCTCATCATCATCATCATCAAGGTAATTAATTAATGATTAGTCAATATAATGCTGTCTCGCTAGCTAGGGTTTTGAATACATACAAGCTTCATTTCTCCATGCTTGATATATATATAGTTCATGTTCGTTTGTACGTGTTGGCTTCTTTGGAAGATTTAGAGGAAGTTGTTGCTTCTTTAGATGATTTAATTTAGTGTGGTATGTGCTTAAGCTTTTCTTTTTTTCTTTTTTGTAATAGGTGATATATATTGACTGATCAAGACTTCAATTCATCAGGGATATGGATTAAACAATATTGTTATTATTATTATTATTGTGATTAGACTAAGCCTTTGAGGTCGCCTTCAACTCGATAAATGAAGAATATTAAAAGCATTATGCGAGGAGAATGAATTAAATTTGGTCAGATTTCAGATAGACTTCAGATACCTGGGGAATGAATTAAAAGGATTATGCGAGGAGAATGAATTAAATTTGGTCAGATTTCATATAGACTTCAGATACCTGAAATGAATGTCTCCGATATTTCGAGATGTTAATAATGGATAAAGGAATAAGTTATTTTCCCCCTATGAGTTGACTTTAAATTAGTTCGAATGTTGTACTCATCAATAACGTATATCACACATCGTATTAGCTATCTAGGTTATGATATAGCATGTTCCTTGAACAAAGGGAAATTCTAGCTAGTTCAACCCAATTGTCAATTATCGAGGATAATTCAGGCTTGTTATGATAAGCCCTTTGCCGAGTTCTCCTTCTCCTCTCAGGTCTCGACTAGGGTAATATATCGCTGTAAGGGATGTGTATGTACGTATTTAGAGACGAATAAGGTGAAATAATACGATTATATTCCTTGCTTTAGTCGTGAACTAGTTTCGTTCGTTCTCTCTTTTCGTTCCCGTTTTTGTTTAACATATATTTCCCTTCATTTTTTTTATGATTAATTAACATTGGGGGGTTTAATAATAATTATTATTATTCAACAGATGATGGGGAGATTGGAAACGAGGAAGAGGAGGCAACAACAGGAGGAGTAGAATACTACGACTTCTTGCAAGTGCACAGTAAGGCCGACAACTCCAATAATACCAATGGCTGCCAACTTACTAATATAGAAGCACACGGTGATGAGTTAGCAGAAGAAGATCTGGAGGAGGAAGAGGTAGATCAATATGATCCAAATATGGCGGTGGCTACCACCGATACTTGCAGCAACACTACTACTAGTGCTACAAGAAGCAGCGATCAGGTGGAAGAATGTGCGAGCAATAAGGTGGCCGAGTTCATCGATTTTTTAGCAGTCGGACCACCAAATTAACAGACCAAAGGTTATAATATATATATTCAGTCCAGTCCAGGCTAGACTACTGACACACGTACGTACACTAGCTTTAGTTGCAGCTCTTTTAATTAATTGGTGGAGGATGATGATCGATCATGCATATATAGTTATCTTCTTCCAAACAGATAATGTCTTAATTAGGGTTTTATAGTTACAGACACAGAATGCACCATATACCACGACAGGAAATCGATCGTGGTGGAGAGGGCGCCAAGCAAATTAAATTAAAGCGCGCTAACGTAACTATGAATGGTGATGTTGTTAATTTATGCATACATGAACACTAATATATATATAGAAAAACAGGGACAAAGCTAAGGCCATTCTATATATATATATATATATATATAAAGTGCTTTGCTTCAGCTGTTCTATGACTGTATCATTCATACAAATGAATTTGATCCTGCATGCTTTCTTCTTATGTTGCGTCCGACTATATATGTTATGTGTGTACATATATTATAATATATACTCATCTCTCCGCGCCATTAATATGGTTGCATGCAACTGCATTATATTTAACTTCCACGCACGTAATTCTACGTACGTACCCAGCACTCAATCTCGCAACGGGACGAAATTCCTGGGCATGACAAGGTCAGCGCGCCGCCAAAGTAGACGGGTGAAATTTGGATATTGACGATTTCAGATTCTAAATAATTTGTTTGGGAGAAAACCAATTGAAATAATGGTATTCGATTTCTGCCAAATACATGGTATGGTATGGTATTGGCCTAGTAATATATTTTAGAGGGGGGTTTCAGTGAAGAGTATTTGTATCCCAATGGTAAAATTGTTCTGCTAGAAAGAGAGGAGTTTGTGGTTCCAACCTTTTCTTGCACAGATAGAAATTCCTCATAACAATAAATATGATCTGCTTGAAATTAAAATTTTTATATACGATAATATAATGCAAGAAAAACAAATATAAAGGCACTGTAAAAAAACTCAAAATTTATGAAAATTCACAAACTATGAAATAAAAAAGGTTTTGAATGAATATCAAAACAATAAAATTGAATTTATGTATATTTCCAATGCAAGTATAGCATGATTCCGATGATACAAATTTCAAATACACATATTGATCAAATGAACCTAAAAAGTTTTCAAGGAACAAAACTAATATTATTATTTTGTTACTTTTTTGCTCCACAAATATGAAGGCGCATTAATATATTTGGACATAGTTTGGTTTGGTCAAGAATTTTGTTACATTTTCTCCACGCAGCTCTCTTCTATGCGCACTAATACTGCAGAAAGCTTATTTTATTATAGTATTGAGTGGATGTCCATCATACACATCCTCCATCTACTATCTCCCAACCCCCTATAGATCACCATTATGATTATCATTATGGCTTGGTCTCATTCATTGCCTATAAAAGGCAATCTAGTAGCAGAGAAAAGGACACACCAAAAAGCCATATAGCTTCTTCACTTCTCCCTTGTAGCCATATAATTACTTGTAGCTTATACTACGTGGGTATTAATAAAGAAGTTACTCTTCTTATTACCTTATTGTTTATTCCGGAGTAATTGTTTCATAACACGTTATCAGCACGACGTTCTACGTGCTCAAGATCCTGTTGATTTGAGCAAACTCCGGAAGTGGAAAATTTACCTCATTAACACGAGTACTCTATCTGCTCAAGATCCTGTCGATATGAAGCAAGTTCAAAAGAAAAAGAAAAGGGGAGTACTATAATTTACTCAAGATCCTGTCGATCTAAGCAACTCCAAAAGAAGAAAGTATTATCATTGTTGTGCCTACTCTTGATCCGGTCAATAAAAAAAAAAAGGTAGCATCACCAACATTCACACGAAAGATCTATTCTGAAGATCTTTGATATTCAATATCAAGAAATTTCTCTCGATTTTCAGGTAATTATAATCATTACTTCCCCATCAAATATTGATTCGTTAATTACGTATGTATATTCCTGAAAATTATGCTTGATGGCTATATTACCGGTCAAATACGTAGAAAAGTAGACATCCACTTAATTAAATATATTATCATATAGCTATCATCAATGTGTATGCATGATTTTGCTTTCATAAGTAATGGCATGTCAGGCTTTGGTCTCCCCTTCAATTATAACATTGAGTTACATATACATATGAAATGCATATAGAGAAAGTGAGTTATTGTATCTATATGGTGAATTTCTTTTATTTTCAAAAGAGAAATGAGACTCGACTATTGAAAGAAAGAAAGGGCATACAAGTCTAATTATTGTTTCTGATATATGCAATTTAGTTATTATATATATATATATATATATATTCACAAATATATTCACGTGGATGGGTACAGACTAACCATACATGCATTTAAAACCAACGTGACCATTATTGTCATTATATTTAACCGTTACTTTTATATATACACACGCATACATATATAGCCTCTGTCAAACAAGAATTGGTTTATAGTTATTTTGTTTGAGATTATATTATTATTAAATCTAATCGAACTTTCTGTTGTGAATATAGTTCAATATGTCAAATTTGTCAAAACTTGAGTTTGTGGCACTTGACATCACCGGAAAGAATTATCTATCTTGGATATTGGATTCTGAAATCCATCTAGATGCAAGAGGTCTCGGTGATACTATCAAAGAAGGAAATAAAGCCTCAAGTCAAGATAAGGCAAAAGCCATGATTTTTCTACGTCACCACCTCCATGAGGGATTAAAGGTTGAATACCTTACGGTGAGAGATCCAGTCGATCTTTGGAATAATATGAAGGAAAGATACAACCATCTAAGGACTGTGATCCTTCCAAGTGCACGTTTTGAGTGGTTACACTTATGGTTCCAAGATTTTAAATCTGTAAGCGAATATAATACTGCAATATTCAGAATTACATCACAGCTGAAATTGTGCGGAGAAAAGATCACTGATGAAGATCTCATGGAAAATACTTTTTCCACATTTCATGAATCAAATGTGATTTTGCAACAACAATATCGTGAAAAAGGTTTCAGGAGGTATTCTGAACTTATTTCCTGCCTCCTGGTAGCAGAACAAAATAACGAGCTTCTAGTGAGGAACCATAGAGCCCGACCAACTGGTGCTACTGCATTCCCAGAAGTGAATGCGACAAGATATAACAAGTGCCGACCTCGGGTCATGGTCGTGGTCGTGGTCAAACTAGTCGTGGATATGCACGAGGTGCAATCCTTATCCTGGACGTGAGTTTCCACATGGTAATAGTTCAAAAAGCACATATGAACATGATGGTAGTTCCAAAAATGCACATTTCCACTAGAAGTGAAAAAATAATAACAAAGTAGTGAAGGGTCAAGATGGTCACAAAACATCCGAGAATACTTGTTACCGTTGTGGCGGTAAATGTCATTGGGCTCGTACCTGCCGTACGCCAAAACATCTCATAGATATTTACCACGAGTCAATCAAAGGAAAAGGAAAAAATATTGAGACAAATATGGTTTGTCAAGAAAATGCTCTTGAACATGGTCTATCTGACTTCATGCATCTAGATGTGGCAGACTTCTATGCCAATCCAGAAGAGAAAAATTGATTTCTTGTTTGGTATTTTATGACTTCGTTATCATATCAATATTTCGTATTTTCCTTGAATAAATGTTGTATTTGAGAACTTGTTATGATTATCCTCTTGTTTGAATGTTTTAAATTAATGTTGTATTTTAAATATCTTTTGGTTGTAAGCTTGTTGTTCTTCGAATAAAAGATTTTTAATTGTTCACAGTTTGGTATTGGAGAATGGCTTTAACCACTGGGATCACCGGCACCAATAACCAAGATTTATGCCTTATTGATAGTGCATCAACGCACACGATCCTGAAAGATAAAAAGTATTTCTCATACTTGGAAATGAGAAAAGCTAGTGTTAGTACTATTTCAGGAAAAACAAACATCATTGAAGGCTCTAGAAGAGCTAATTTATTATTGGCAGGAGGAACAAGATTGTGCATCACTGATGCCTTGTATTCAAGCAAGTCTTACAGAAATTTATTAAGTTTTAAGGATATCCGTAGAAATGGATATCATCTTGAGACAACAAATGAAGATGATACATAATATATCTTCATCACTAATATGGCATCAGGTGAAAAATGCATATTGGAAAGATTGCCTGAATTTTCCTCCAGTTTGTACTATACGTACATTAACATGATTGAAACACATGTAATTGTGAACCCGAAGTTCGCAAATCATGATGAGTTTTTTATCTGGCATGATCGATTGGGTCATCCAGGATCAGTCATGATGCGAATGATAATTGAAAATTCACATGGCCCTCAGTTAAAGAAACAACGAATACCACAATGGAAGGAAATATTATGTTCTGCTTGTTCCCAAGGAAAGTTGGTTGTAAGACCATCACCAGAGAGATTGAGAAATGAATCTATGAGATTCTTGGAACGTTTACAAGGGGCTATTTGTGGACCAATACACCCTTCTTGTGGACCATTTAGGTACTTTATGGTACTGATTGATGCATCAACTAGATGGTCACTTGTTTCATTACTATCCACCCGCAACTTGGCGTTTGCGAGGTTACTTGCTCAACTAATACGATTACGAGCTCATTTTCCTCATTACACAATCAAGAAAATACGATTGGATAATGCTGGTAAATTTACATCCCAAACTTTCAATGATTATTGTATATCTTTGGGAATTGATGTGGAACATCCTGTAGCACATGTTCATACACAAAATGGTCTTGCTGAATCATTCATCAAACGTTTACAGCTAATTGCAAGACCATTACTTATGAGAACAAATCTCTCAGCCTCCTGTTGGGGCCATGCCATTTTGCATGCAGCAAATTTGATTCGCATAAGGCCAACAAGTTATCATGAGCAATCTCCATTGCAGTTGGTTTTTGGAAAGGAGCCTAATGTGTCCCACTTGAGAATATTTGGTTGTGCAGTATATGTACCAATTGCTCCAACACAACGCACAAAGATGGGACATTAGAGAAAGTTGGGAATTTATGTTGGATATGAGTCTCTTTCAATCATTAAGTATCTAGAACCAACGACCGGAGATTTGTTTACAGCCAGATTTGCTGACTGTCACTTTGATGAAACAGTCTTCCCAAAATTAGGGGGAGAGAATAAACAGCCAGGAAATGAGATAAGTTGGAATGAATTATCATTATCCCATTTCGTTCCTCGAACCCAACAATGTGAACTTGAAGTTCAAATGATAATTCATTTGCAAAGTTTAGCAAATCAATT